CTCTGGAGTTCCAGAAAAACATTTTAGCAACATACAGTCATCACGGAACTTCGTGCCAGCAAACCATGAAATCCACTTTTGTCAACAGGCAGATGAGTCATTTCAGCAGACCCTGTTTGTCCCTCCAGCGGTTTTATTTGCGAACGCTAAAATTAACCAGTGGAAGGGATTCATGATTCGTTTTGCACAGGGAGGCACTACCGAGATTGCACGAAAGTCACCTTTCCCGAGCTGGGAGCAACAGCCCATCTGCATGCTTGCACTAACAGGTATGCATGCTTGCATGAACATCATTTGCCCATGGGATGATGCTCATCCTTAGGTGAGGAACATGCTGTACCTCCTTTGGGATGCTATCTGGGCAACTTCCAGTGTGGAACAAGAACCAGAATATTTTGAAGATGATCAAAGATTACAATCTAAAATGATGCATCATTGTCAGGAAGAGGAATATTAATTTAAGTGCGCGTGGCACAAAGTTTATCTATTATAATTTGTCCCGAGGGTTCCAGAAACAGGTATTCTCTTTTTAATCTGTAATGACAGTGCCAGTTAGTCAACTCCAGCTGTAAACATGATTCATCTCCAAGAAGAGATGCTACTACTAAAAGGCCTTAAATATCTCCTTGTGTGGAATTGTTTATTTCAAGTTGGGGATACTCCCTTCAAGCTTCAGTTTCTCCATCTCCTATCCTTTAACTTTCACCCATGTGATATTCTCTTGCCAGCTGCCTTTTTCAACCAAAGGAGACTAAAACCCGTTACTACCAATCCAACTATCCAAAATCCTGAGTAAATAATTGTGAAATCAGTTTAGAAATAACAAGAACACAGAATGTGCTTTCTTCTTAGTTTCTGAGTTTGTTTCCAGTGTCACCATAAGGACTAGAAACATACTTCTTCACAAGTGACATTTGTGATTGTTGATATTCTGGCCCACAAGCCGGAAAAAAAGTGCCTTGAGAACCAATGATACACCATGACATGACATCTCTAGTTTCTTCTCTTTCCAGTCAAAAATGCATATAGGACACCAAGAAGGTGTTATGTGTGCATGATCTATAAAACACAGTGCAAATCCCCCCCCCAAAAAAGTTCTTCAGGTATATATAATTTCAAAAGTGATTAAATGTTCACATTGTATCTAGCTAGTTAGCGCCTGTTTAACAGGCAAAATTGCTGTATTATTTCTCTTTCTCTGCAAATCAATGGATTATCTGTTAAATACATTGTACCTCTAAAATCAAGCATGTAATACTACAGCCATCTGCTATTTAAGAATTCCTCCTGGACAGCTGGAGATATAAAATATAAACTCCAGATTCCATCGACTTGTTTTAGAGCAGCTCCTACTGCTATAATTTTATGAGGACCTAACCAGGGCTCTGTTTAATCAGAGACCTTTCTAATCAAACAACGTGGCTGGAAAATAAATTTGATCAAGACCCCTTTCCAGTTTTGCCAGCTGTTTAAAAAAAGAAGAAACCAATTTATTGGCAACAAAATAAAGGGACTTATATAAGGGCAATACAACTTAATGTTTGGTTCCGATTCCTTCATGCTGCTTGCGAGCCTAAATCCCAAAGCATTTCCCCCCCCCATTTTATTCATAATAAACATTAACCATTCTATTACTGAGATGGGTTTAGCTGTCTGGAGCGCTACCCAGAAGTATACCAGCATAAACAAACCATGTCTCAAAGCTGAACCAACACATATATTCAAGCATAAATTTTTATGGATTCAGTCTCACTTATTGCATCTGAAGATGTGGGCGTCTAGTCCACAACAAATTATGTGGGAATAAATTGTGGGTAGTCTGTAAGTGCCCTGTTTATTTTTGCTGTAACAGACTATCAGGGCTACCCCACTGGAATTATCATAGTAAGGCGAAGTTTGTTATACCCAGGACTATTTTTGGGCAGGAACGGAGTTCCGGCTGGCTCCCGAGTTGGCCACGCCCAGCAGAAACTCATTAGCATAATAGGCCGCACCCAACAGCAGAAACTTGTTAGGATTGGCTACGTTAGGGGTGTGTGGCCTAACATGCAAAGACGTTCCTGCTACAAAAAAAAGGTTGGTGTGGCTGGATGACCACATTTCTGGTAACATGGGGGTGCGGCCTAATATGCTAATGAGCGGTGCTGTCAGGGTGTGGCCTAATATGCTAATGAGTTCCTGCTGTTGGGTGTGGGCTGTTATGCTAATGATTTCCTGCTGGGCTTTTTCTACAAAAAATGCCTTATACCTCCTATAATGATCAAATGCTTACTACAAGGCAGGTGGATAAATCACCGTTGCATGAAAAACACGCAGGCAGAGGCAAATAACTGTAAGCAGGGCTCTAGTCGGGGGGGAGCTCTCAGGTACGGAGCTCCGGAAGAGAAACTCTAGGGGGCGGGGCGGTCACGTGGTGAAGCCCCGCCCCCTTCTTTACCCCGCCCTCTGCTTCGATCCTCATTCCGTTTGGGAATGAGGATGAAGCAGGAGGGTAAGTAGCCGGGCCTTCTGACACACTTCCGGTGATGTCAGGGGGTGTGGCCTTCTGTCACTTCCGGTGATGTCAGGGGGCGTGGCATATGCAAATAAGTTATGCTAATGAGTTATGCTAATGAGCTCCGGCAGCTCTTTTTCTACAACAAGACCCCTGACTGTAAGACTACCCAACGGTCAGATCTATGCATCCTGCAGCTCCCACTCCAATCTTTCCCTGAGATTTTCGCCTCCCATTACAAAACTGTGCACAACAGCCAACAACCGGAAGCCCTAGCAAGTCTCACCATGCCATCACGACACTAAAACTGTTTCTGAATATCCTCCTCTCCCTTTCACGGGATACCTCCGCTACGTACAAATGGGGTGGTCTGGAAGGTCAGCCCTATTAAGCTCTATGCACCTCACTTGTGTTTTTTATATCAGAGGAAACCTGACGCCATTTCGTCATAGGTGTAGTGTGGCCAGGCTCTACCTGGCAGCCGGTGTGGGGATCCTGTCAATTCCAAAAGTGCGCGTGGGGCACAATGACATCACCCAGAAGTAGGGTTGCCAAGTGTGAATTCAGCCACAGCGGGGGACTCCCGGCTGGCGGCTGGAGTGTGTGTGCGAGCGCAAAGCGCAAGCGCACCGCATCCACATTGCCCGGAAGTGACGCGGGCACGCTGGGGGCGGGGCCACGACCATCCGAGGGAAAACCATAGTTTTCCCTCAGATGACCGTGGCCCCGCCCCCGGCGTGCCCGCGTCACTTCTGGGCGACGTGCACGTCGGGGTGGAGTTTCCCCCGGGGCCCGATCCGCTGGCGGCAGGGAGCGGGCCTCTGGGGCAGGGGTTTCCCCGCCCCCAGGGGGACTTGGCAAGCCTACCCAGAATGACATCATCATCTTGCGGATGTCAGCGGGGATTAGTTTTGGAGCAAACTCTATGGTCTGTAGCCAATTTTACCACAGAGTTTGCCCAAAAACTTAGCGTCAACTCCGACGCCAGCGACATGATGACATCGCTTCCGAGTGATGTCATCATGTCACCATGCGGGGCAGTTGGGGGCGGGATTTCCCCCTGCCAGTCAGCTGGCCGGCGGCAGGGAAGGGCCCCCCAAAAGCAGGGGTTCTCCTGCCCCCAGCGGGGGTCTGGCAAGCCTACATAGGTGGCAACATTGCCAGCCCCGTTCTCTACCTCACAGGTCCCCAAACTTTTTGAGCCCGTGGGAACCTTTGGAATTCTGACACGGGGTGGTGGGCGCAGCCCAGCTGTAAAATGGCTGCCAGTGCCGCAGGAGGCGGAGCCAGCCACAAAATGGCTGCTGCAGCTTGCCTTCAACCACACAGTGAAGATCCTTGTGCTGTGGTGGCAGCGGCTGCCAAAGCCACATTTAAAAAAATCTGCACAGCCAATCCGATCTCCAGTGGCCAATCAGAAGCCTTGCTGAGGAATCCCCAACCGAGGGTGGAGGGTGGTAAGCAGTGGGGTACCGCAGGGATCAGTACTCCGTCCGATGTTTTTTAATGATTTGGAGTTGGGAGTAAGCAGGAAAGTGGCTAAATTTGCAGATGACATGAAGTTGTTCAGGGTGGTGAGAACCAGGGAGGATTGTGAGGCACTCCAAAGGGATCTGTTGAGGATGGGCGAGTGGGCGTCAATGTGGCAAATGGGGTTCAATGTGGCCAAGTGCAAAGTGATGCACATCGGAGCCAAAAATCCTAACTATAAATACACGTTGATGGGGTCTGAACTGGCAGAGACTGACCAAAAGAGAGATCTTGGAGTCATGGTAGATAACTCAATGAAAATGTCAACTGCAATAAAAAAGGCCAACGCTATGCTGGGGATTATTAGGAAGGGAACTGAAAACAAATCAGCCAGTATCATCATGCCCCTGTATAAATCGATGGTACGTTGTCATTTTCAGTACTGTGTACACTTCTGTTCACCACACCTCAAAAAGCATATTATAGCATTTGAAAAAGTGCATAAAAGGGCAACTAGAATGATAAAAGGGTTGGAACAATTTTCACTATGAAGAAAGGTTAAAGCGCTTGGGGCTCTTTAGCTTGGAGAAACGACGGCTGAGGGGTGACATGATCAAGGTTTATAAGATTATGCGTGGGACAGAGCAGGTAGAGAAAGAAGTCCTTTTCTCCCTTTCTCACAATACAAGAACCCGTGGGCACTCCATGAAATTGCTGAGCAGTCGGGTTAGAACAGATAAAAGGAAGTCCTTCTTCACCCAAAGAGTGATTAGCACATGGAATTCACTGCCACGGGAGGTGGTGGCGGCTACAAGCATGGACAGCTTCAAGGGGGAACTGGATAAACATATGGAGCAGAGGTCCATCAGTGGCTATTAGCCACAAGGTATAGATAGGAACTCATAGGCTGGAGCAGGTGATGCACTGTATTCTTGGGGGGGGGGGAACAGTGGGAGGGCTTATAGTGTCCTGGCCCCACTGCTGGACCTCCTGATGGCCCCTGGTCTTTTTGGCCACTGTGTGACACAGAGTGTTGGACTGGATGGCCCATTGGCCTGATCCAACACTGGCTTCTCTTATGTTCTTATGTTCACTTGGTAGGTACCAAGAAAGGCTTTAGTGGGTACCACACTGAGAACTCCTGCTCCGCCTCTTCCCTGGAACAAAGCTGGTGCAGTTCCACACAGGGGCCTCGCACTGAGTCTCCTACAAGAAAGAGACTGGCAATCCTTTCTCCTGGAGGGGAAAAAATCCTCTCTCTGATGTTCTCTTTTAACATAAATCGGATCTGATGACTGAATCTAGGGCCACTCGAATGGGAGAGGTTTCAGGTCACCATAATTTGCAGTCACAGATTATTCATGTATTTTTTTACTGCTCCTGCTTCAGGCTTCTATCTGAGATTATATCGGTTCCCGTTTACTGCACCTCAAAAATTAAAAGTTTATTTTAAAACCCTCCTGTGCTCTCGCTACCCTGACAGTACTGTCTGACTTCGGTTTTGTAGTGACCATTGTTACTCTGGTAGTGAAATCCAGCAACTGCTGACCGGGAAGAGCCAAAAATCTCATAAATCATCTGTATTCTTCAACCTAAGTTTCCAGGTGCTTCCGCCTCACAACATGATTCTGCCACCACCCCGGTGGCGGGGTGTCCGTCTTGTAAAAAGGCGTCCAGGAGAAACCTCCCCAGCCCTGGGCATCTCATCCCAAAGGGTAATTGTCTTGGCACCCCCCAAGAGAAAAATTCTGCTCCCCCTGCAGCAACGTCCCGAAACAGCATGCAGCCTAAAGGGGAAGGCCTTCCAAGTGTCCGCAGGCTGGATCTCGGGTGTGGAATCCACGGCACCTCCGCCAGGGAAATAATTTCGCTGCCAAAGACCGCCAAGCAGGTTCCCCGCTCTTACACCAGTGTCCCATTCTTGCTGTCGTATTTCGGCCCGGGGCGGGGAAAGTTGAGGGTGGCATACTCCGTGGCATTCTGGGACTGCAGGCTCTTGACCTCTTCCGCTGAGCGCTCCCGGATTTTGCTGAAGACCTGGATGTCTGCGTAATGCACGTTGCCGTCGTCGCGCTTGGCGTACTTGGGCTTGTTCACGGTGGCATAGACGGGGAATTCGGACACGTCGTCGTAAACCGGAGCAGTGTCACATCCCTTCAAAAATAAACAGACGTATTACGGGAGGCGAGTCACCATCAACGAAGGCAAAAGTGTCTCTGCCTTCGGCAGACATTCCAAACAGTGGCTCCCCCCAATAATTAACATGTGCTACAATTCAGTGATAAATCCCCCCTTGAATTACTCTATCTTTTTTTTAAAAAACAATTTTATTTGGATATAACATCAAGTCAGCCAATATAACATTTTAGCATCCTTCTTATATCCTTTTCTCCCCCTATCTCTCCCCTTCCGGCTTCCCGCAGTGCTGCCACCTCCCTTCCAAATCTTCTATTTTCTTCTCTCTTCTCCCCACATCAATAATTAAACCTATAAGGTCACATTTCTTTAAACTATTATTCTTACACATTTGAACTAACTCTAAATATCCTTCCATCTCTAATAGTTATCAAAGCCAAATAGATTATTCTTCACATCCCAATATTTCTCCAGATACTCTTTAAGATCTATCCAGTCTGCAAAAAATTCTTCCGCTTCCTGATTCTTGAGCTTTCTTGTCGTTTTGTCCATTTCAACCATAAAAAGCAACTTTTTTTATCCACTCCCAGATCCCTGGCGTTTTTTCTTGTTTCCAGCATTGAGCATAAGTCATTCTGGCTGTTGTGATCATGTACCACATTAGAGTCCGTTTTGCAATATTTACTTCTTCCATTTTAAGTCCCAAAAGTAAAAATTCCGGCTCCTCCTTAAATTTACATTTCGTAATTTTTTGGAGAAAATTGAATTACTCTATCTTAAGCGGTGGGGAAGAGTGCCGTCAAGTCGCAGCTGACGTTTGGCGATCCCATAAGGCTTTCAAGGCAAGAGACCTTCAGAGATGGTTTGCCATCGCCTGCCTCTGCGTAGCAACCCTGGGATTCCTTAGTGGTCTCCCCTCCAAGTACTAACCAGGGCCGACCCTGCTTAGCTTCTGAGATCCGATAAGATCAGGCTAGCCTGGGCCAGCCAAGTACTCCAGAAGAATCACTAGTGCCATCAATAGTTCTGCACTTACCAGAGGTCATTTCGGGGGGGATCGCAGTTCCCCCGGCCGCCCCACTTCCAGCCCTCATTCAGCCAGGAGGAGGCAGGAGAAGAGGGAGGGTAAGTTGCTTCCTCCCTGCCTCTCCCCACCCCTGCCTGCCTGGGGCCAGGGAGGGCCTTCGCGGGGCTTCCTTGCACTCCCGCCGGCCTTGCAGGTCCACCTCATGGGGCTCGGCAGTGGAGCTGCAAGGCCGGCGGTGGCGGCCGGGACCGTTGGGGGCGGGGTGTGTGGCCTTATGACACACTTCCGGTGATGTCAGGGGGTGTGGCCTTATGACACACTTCCAGTGATGTCAGGGGGTGTGGGATATGCTAATGAGTTATGCTAATGAGTCCCCCCCAGAGTTCATTGGTTGCTGTAGATTTTCCGGGTACTAATGAAGTCAGGATTGCATTTAAAGGTAGGTCAAGACGAAAACACCCAAAAGGGGGTGCCGTGCAATTCTGGCGTTAAAACTGGCCTGAAAATGCTTGTATCAGACAAGCAACTACTAGCTGTATAGAACAGGACAAGCATGGTCCCCTTGTAGTCGCTTGCAAGGATAGATAAAAACCCGGAGGGCTATGGCTCAGTGGAAGAGCCTCTGCCTGGCACTCAGAAGGTCCCAGGTTCAAACCCCGGCGTCTCCGGTTAAGGATCTGGAAGCAGGCGATGAGAAAGACCCTTTTCTGCCTGAGACTGAGATCCTAGAGACACTGACTTTGATAGGCTAATGGTCTGATTCAATATCAGCTTCATGGGTGTTCCTGTGTACTTGGCTAAGGTAAAGGTTCCCTTGCTCGAAAGCCAGTCGAATCCGACTCTAGGGTTGTGGTGCTCATCTCCGTTTCCAAGCCGAAGAGCCAGCGCTGTCCGAAGACGTTTCCGTGGTCATGTGGCCGGCATGACTAAACACCAAGGCGCACGGAACGCTGTTCCCTTCCCACCGAAGCGGTACCTATTTATCTACTTGCAATTTCTTGCTTTCGAACTGCTAGGTTGGCAGGAGCTGGAACTAGAGACGGGAGCTCACTCCGTCATGCGGCACCCGGGTCTTGAACTGCTGAACTACTGACCTTCCACAGCCTGCAGTTCAGCCTCTTAACCACTTGAGCCACCGCAGCTCCTAGGCAGCCCTTAAACATATTGGCATGTTCCCCACCCACACCTTGGTCCCCTTTGGAAGCTGAAAGCAACCCATGGCAATTGGTAGCAAACACTTTAGGGGAGGTAGTTTACCTGCTTGCTCTCTGGGTTCTGTGGGTTTGGCTTACTGGTTCTTGTACCTGTAAAAGAAACAATTAATAAATTTAGGGATGGACCCAGGAAACTAATATCAGCAATCCTAATCTATAATAGGGCCTAAACTGGGATCTTGCAGCTCCTGCAGAATCTTGAGAATGTGAGGTTTCATTATGAATAAATATGTTACGAGACCTCATGGTTTCGGGGATACCTCTGAAAATGTTTGGGAGGACCTTCAATATGCTTAGCTGAAGGAGCTTGTCTTCAATATGTTGTCGAAGGCTTTCATGGCCAGAGTTCATTGGTTGCTGTAGATTTTCCGGGTTGTCTGGCCGTGGTCTTGGCATTGTAGGACCTGACGTTTCACTAGCAGCTGTGATTGGCACCCTCAGAGGTATACCACAAAAAGATGGAATGCTCTGTGTGTGTCAAGGTGAGGTCCCACAATGCCCAGTGTTCCCTCTAAGCTGAGTTAGTGTGAGCTAGCTCACACTAACTCAGCTTAGAGGGAACACTGGGCATTGTGGGACCTCACCTTGACACACACAGAGCATTCCATCTTTTTGTGGTATACCTCTGAGGGTGCCAATCACAGCTGCTAGTGAAACGTCAGGTCCTACAATGCCAAGACCACGGCCAGACAACCCGGAAAATCTACAGCAACCAAAGAGCCTGTCTTCATTTAATTCGTAGACTTTCACTAGGTCCCTTCTCCTTCTACAGACCAACCAAATCCTAATATTTTGTGAAATCCAGATTCTCTGTTCTTTGTCGCAGGGTGCAGGGACAGGGTAGGAAAACAGGAACAAAACATTTCAAATGCCACCTTTGTAAAAATAGAAAAAGCCCAGTGCCATTCTGAAATTGTGCCACTGAAACAAGATGGAAATGAAGAACCTACACGCAGACATTTTTGCATACTTAATTGCTGAGCACAGAATGTGGGCTTTGTTCTTCACATTACATTTAACGTAAATGCCGGCCTTCGGCTGTTACCGGATCCGGTGTCCAGCGTGGGCTCTTCTCATTATAACCTTTGCAGGTTTTTTAACCCTGGGGGAAGGCACACTGTCCACCTGACCCCCATATTCCCTTAGGAAAGCAGAGGTCTTTATACTTCTTTCTGTGTTGTCTTACTTCAAATGAGTTCTTCCTTACTTCCTTCCTTTAGCGTTCTGATGGTATTTTCCCCTGCTTTCAGGGGTGTTCCAGCAACCGCTTTCAGGATTGCATCCCTGACATGCCTCTTCGAGAATCTTACTACAATTTCCCCAGGCAGATTATTTTTCTTTATATATCCTGAGTATGATCTATAGACTACGTCCATATCATTAAGTAACGATTCTGCCTTCATTTCTGTCGCTGGGGCCAGCAGTTCACTCATCACTTCTTTAAGATTCTCCCCTCTGTTCTCACATTGGATATAAATGGCTATTTCCAGAAGGCGTAACTTTCAAGATCAAAGATAAAAAAGAAAAGATTGACTCTGTTCTGAAAGCTCAAGAATTCCTAAGGGTTCAGCTGGGAAGGCCAGAGGACGGGGAAAAAGAAGAGGACATCAAGTCCAGTGGCGAGCTAGACACCGGTTCTTCCGGAGAGGACTCTCTGTCTGAGCAAGGGGAGGCAGCCCCAAAAAGTCCTTACAAGCTGCGGAAGAGAAGGGGAAAGAAGAAGAAGAAGAAGAAGAAGAAGAAGAAGAAGAAGAAGAAGAAGAAGAAGAAGAAGAAGAAGAAGAAGAAGAAGAAGAAGAAGAAGAAGAAGAAGAAGAAGAGATT